AGCTTTCCCTCAGATCTAAAGCAACTACACTTGGAGCGCACTTGAAGTGCACTTGCAGGTGCACTTGCAGTGCACAGCCTATTTACCTTTAGTAAATCAACCCCATTGTGACTGGAGCAAATATACTTTGATCTTGCATCAGCCATTATAATAGGGGATAGATAGTGTGGGGTGGTGCTTGGCAAAGTCCTTGGGTGAAGATCCATGGGTGTACACTGCCTCAGCCATAAGTCATCATTGGCAACCACTGCAAAGTCTAGGTATTTTAGAATTTCTTGGCCTGCGCTTGCAGTGCTTTTGCAACAGGCAACAGAAACTTTGACATTCCAGGGAAAGCCATAGTTGGAAACTTCACATCAAAAATCCTTATCTAGAGCATAATGACCTTATAGTTCTGCAAAAAGTGTGTTTAACCATATAAGGTGAGTGATAAAAGTATAAAAATAAGGAATAAAATTAGGATAACTAACATTCCTCACCCAAATAAGACAAAGCATATATAATTGTGCTCAAAAATTTGCATACCTTGGTAGAAATCGTGAAATTTTGGCATTGATATTAAAAATATATGACTGAAGAATTGTTTGGTATACAAAGAAAAACCCACAGGTAACCTCAGGAGAAATACAGACTGCTCTGGAAACAGAGTGTTTTTTTCAAGGAGCACAATACGACGATACTTAAACAAAAATGAGCTACATGGTCGAGTTGCCAGAAAGAAGCTTTTACTACGCCAATGCTACAAAAAAGCCCGGTTACAACATGCCCAACAACACCTTGACACACCTCAAATCTGGAGTGATAAGACCAAAATAGAGCTTTATGGTCAGAACCATAAACACTATGTTTGGAGAGGGGTCAACAAGGCCTATAGTGGCAAGAATACCATCCCCAGTATGAAGCATGGTGGTTGCTCACTGATGTTTTGGAGTGTGTAAGCTCTAAAGGCATAAGGAAATCTTGTGAAAATTGATGGCAAGATGAATGCAGCATGTTATCGGAAAATACTGGCAGACAATTTGCATTCTTCAGCACGAAAGCTGCCCCTGGGAGGCTCCTGAACTTTCCAGCACAAGAAAGACCCTACGCACAAGGCCAAGTTGACCCACCAGTGGTTACAGCAGGTAAGGTTCCAGAGTAGCCATCACAGTCTCCTGTTCTTAACCGCTTCCCGACCACCCTATAGCAGAATACTACTACAGGGTGGCATGAGTGTGCATAATCATGTGTATATACATGATTTTGCATCTCCGGTTGGGGGAGCGCGCCCTACCTGTGCCGCCATTCGCAGACGTGGCTGTCAATCACCGGGTCCCAGCCAGTGATTACTCGCTGGTGCCCGGTGATTGCCGAGCATCTCCGACGGGGAGAACTGTTTGTAAACCAAACAGTTCTCCTCCTTGTCAGCTGGTGCACACTGCTTTGTATGGCTGTGCACAGCACAGCCATGCAAAGCAGTGTGCTTACAGTGAAGCACACGAACACAGCACATAGTAAAAACACACACTGCACACCGTTAACCCAGTGTCAGAATGCCCCCCACAGTCCCGCTATAAGTCACTGATTGCTGCCATTACAATAAAAATAAAATACAAAAAAATTCCAGTCATTTGTAAACACTATAACTTTCACGTAAACCAATTAATTTACACATATTGTGATTTTTTTTTTTTTAGCAAAGACATGTAGCAGATTACATTTTGGCCTAAATTTATGGCAAAATTAGATTTTTTACATTTTTTTTTACTGGACATGTTTAATAGCACAAAGTCAAAAATATTGCTTTTTCTCAAAATTGTTGGTCTTTTTTTTATAGTGAAAAAAATTAAAAATGCACAGACGATCAAATACCACTGAAAGAAATCTCAATTCGTGGGAAAAAAAGGACGTGAATTTCCTTTGAGTGCAGCGTTGCATGAGCGCACAATTGTCATTTAACGCAACACAGCACTGTTGCACAAACAATGGCCTGGTCAGGAAGGGGGGTAAATCCTCTGGAGGGCAAGTGGTTAATATCATCAAGGGGAGATTTTAGATGTGTGGTTCATGCAAGACGACCAAAGACTTTGCATGACCTGGAGGTATTTTAGCCAAGATGAATGGGCAGCTATACCAGCTGCACGGATTTGTGTCCTCATAGACAACTATTACAAAAGACTGCACACTGTCATTGATGCTGAAGAGGGCAATACATAGTGGTAAGAACTAAGGGAATGGACACTTTTGAACAGGGGTCATTTCATTTGCTTACTTGTTGCCACAATTTGTTTTATGATTGTGCCATTCTGTTATCACCTACAGTTGAATATGAATCACGTAAGAAATAATAGAAATGTTTTTTGCCTGCTCACTCATGTTTCATTAAAATGGTACACACTGTATATTACCAGTTCTTCAAGGGTATGCAGACTTTTGAACACAAATGTAAAAAATACAATTCAGATTTATTTCATGGAGTTTCTTGACACCGATGTGTGCAGACATGAAGTACCATACTAATACAACACAAACATTTTCTGAAGTACTCTCTGGGGAGGGAGGACTTTGTTGCATCTAGGTCCATTAGTGGTCACATGTGCATAGAGTAGGTATTTCCATTCTTCTGCAAAAGGAAACACTATATATGAAACTAGTACTGAACATACATGCCATACCTGTTTGTTCATGAAGACATAGATAATGGGATTGTACATGGAAGCGGTTTTTGCAAAGAAGGCTGGGATTGCAGATAGTCTTGCATCCAGCTCTATCGTTGGGTGTGCTGTGACGAGGATAGAGAAAGCAGCATAGGGTGACCAGCAGACAAGGAAAAGGCCAGGATCATTATTACTACCATTCGAGTGACTTCTTTCTCTGGTTTTCTTGTAGAACCCAGTCTGCCTTGAGTGTCTGATACCTGTATGAAAAGATTGAATGATGTCATGATTCTTATTTTCTTTACTGTCACGATGCTTGAAGCAAACCTTCAGTTAAATGTTTTCTGCTGACCTGCCATGTAATGTCCTGCACCAAACACTTCTGGGTTCTGGCATTTGTACCCCCTTTCCCCTTAAGCTGCAAAGGCAGCCAGGTAGGGATGTACACATGCTGCAGCTATGCTGCTTTGCATTTTGGTACAGCTAAAATTATCCCCCCGCTCATGTTCAGTAGGACCACCACCGAATGTGACATATACAAGTGAATAGGGCTGCTCTGGATCCACAATCCAAATGCTAGGCTTGCACTTGTGGCTTGGTGTTCCTATTCAAACAGCCAGTTTAGCTGTAAAAAACAAAGGCATTTAGGAGGTGGCTGTATCGTCTCCTGAATGCCTGTTGGCTGTGCATGCACTACTCTGTGAAAAATGATCCACCATGAAATTATCACTAAAACAAGCACATGAGCACAGCAGCACAACTGACTGATCATTGCTGAATAACTGAGCTCTGTAGTACAGGGCATTAATACCAAATCATATTCAGGTATTCATCCTGCTTGCATTAAAAAATAGATTTGTATGATGTGATAAAGCTACTGTAATTTCCAACTATTGCTTTTTTTGCATGATTACATACAGTAGATCCAACTTGAACCAATGTAAATGTGTGTGCTATACCTGTGGGATAACTGTGAATGCTGGAAATCACTGTAGTAGACACTACTACTCCAGTGATTGCTGCTAGCTTCCAGGTTCTGTGCCAAGTGCTTGGTGTGCACCATTCAAAGGACACTTCTCATTTTCCTAATGAATGGAAAGCATTTTTGATTGGATAATGTGGAGAGTAGGGCAGTGATGTCATGATCTTCACCTTGTCCAGTCAGGGAACACTTTGAATTTATTGAAAAAAATGCAAGGCTTCTACATGGATTGGTCAGGTATAGCACATGCACACTTACATTTGCTTTTTAAAAAATATGTATTTTTTAAATATATTCTTCAGATTTTTTTTAACATATAAAAAAGTAATTTTAACAAATATTTTTACATATACTGTATATTTGTAAATGCATCCAAAAAATGTAGATTTGTATTTTTAAAGACATACTGTATATTTGACATGTATTGTTAAAAAATATTTTTCACATATACGCTGTAATAAAAATGCATTTCAACATGCAGTATATATATATTTACATATATATATATATATATATTATTTTTTTTATTTATTAAAATATATTTTGAAATATATTGAATATGGCCAAAATTGTAGCATTTCAGATATATGTTTTAAAATATACATCAAATATATTTTTCTTTCATATGGGCAGTGGGCTTGTGTTTTGATTGGGGGTTACTCAAAGCTAAAGGGCACACTGTCTAGTGTAAAAGTAGAACCATACTATAGGGATAACATGTCGTCTCTAGCTGAACAGCATTAACTCTGCACAGACTTCCTTAGCTATTAACAAGCATTGATTTCCTATCCAACCTCTAACAAACTTGTAGTACTGAGTTCCTCTGTGTTGAGATTTTTCCTAATAAACCTAGTATAGAACTATTCGACTCAAATCCACTGACCAAGCTTTTAGCACAAAGCAGAGTAAATATTGATTTATAGATTATTGGAGTTTTGTCATTAAAGTGTTACTAAACTCACAACAGTAAAATCAGTCTGCATATGCAGTAAAGCATGCTTGTTATACTCACTGTGGAACCTTAGGGGTTAATCCTCTGCATTATGTAAAAAGGCTGTTTGACCCTGTCTTCTCTGCTCCTCCTCCTCGTCAAATGTCCTCATCCTATCTCCTGATAAGACAGACTGATCCTATAGCCATTCTGCACATGCTCAATTTAGTATGTATTGTTAGAGAGCAGGGGCGGACTGACCATATAGAAACTCAGGCACTGCCCGAGGGTCTGGAGTCAGTAGGGGGCCCCATGAGATGCCCCTGGTACCTTTTTCATAGGCTTTTTTGAGTTTGGGCAAGGACACAAGCGCCCCATGATCCCCTATTGCCCGGGGGTCCCATGAGTTGTCAGTCCGCCCCTGTTAGAGAGTTTTTTGTTTTCTTGGGAGAGTGCATGCGATCAGCGCAGGGTCAATCAGCACTGTCCACACAGAGGTCAGTGGTCCTGCATCCTCCTAGAGCAGAAAGTAAACTCCTCCTACAGTGCATATTAGAAAAATGTATGAAATAATATAGAAATAAACACACACATGAATAAATACTGCAGCCCAAAACATTGTAAAGTGTCTATACATTTTTTTGAAAGTCCTTTCAAAATATCAGCAATCCAACTATTCACCCAACATTGGTGTCCAATGTAATACATAACTCTTCACCACCAACGTGCAGTAGAATGAGAGGCTTACCAGATCCAGTCACAATCCTGGCTTCTCATATAATCAAATACTAACAGGAACTGACACCATCAGGATCTCCAGATCTAGTTCAGGCAAACCATATAGACCAGACAATGTTGAAAGAAAGACCAATCTCTCCAGGATCTCCTACTCAAACTCATAGCATGTATGACAATACACACATAAAAAGAGAACAAATTCCTCCCATAGCATAGTACGTTTTATTAAAAATTGTGCAAAACAAGACCGAAATCCAATTAAATGAACAAGTGCCACTCCAGGCACTGGATAATCGCAGAATGTGAGAGAACCGCAACGTCACCACTCTTTCTAACAGGGCCGCAGTGCATTTCATGAGCAGACTCCAGACCACCGGAAGTGACGTTCAATGGGAACAGATTCAGGGAGCTCTGAGCTTCCTGATAATGTGATTTTGCAAAATGCACTGAGGCCTGGCCGTTGACGTCACTTCCAATTCCCACTGAACGTCACTCTTTTTATGTGTGTATTGTCATACATGCTATGAGTTTGAGAAGGGGGTCGTGGAGAGATTGCGCTTTTTTTCACCATTGCCTGGTCTATATGGTTTGCCTGAACTAGATCTGGAGATTCTGGTGGTGCCAGTTCCCTTTATCATTTGATTATATGAGAAGCGTGGATTGTGATTGGATCTAGTAAGCCTCTCATTCTACTGCACATTGGCGGTGAGGAGTTGTTTATTACATTGGACACCAGTATTGGGTAAATAGTTGAATCGCTGATATTTTGAAAGGGCGTTTAAAAAAAAAATGTATGGGTACTTTACAATGTTTTGGGCTGTAGTGTTTATTCAAGTGTGTATTTATTTCTATATTATTTCATACATTTTTCTAATATGGACTAGTTATTAGCCACAGGGCTTTAGCGCCTTTTTCTATTAATATTAGTATCAAAAGAATATTTACACTCTATTAAGAGCTGCTTCCCTTATTACTATTTTATACACATATTATATTTTTTATTATGAATTTGTAGGTGTGGATGGCGCACCACCTAGTGTATTTATTTATAAGAAACATTTTTGATAATACTTTTATGACATGACTTGTTTCTTCAACAACTAAAAAAATGGACATGTAAAAAAACAGATGTATACTGTATACAGGACAACATGGATGGTAGGTATGCATTTCTTTTGTTTGGGTTGTGGTCCCTTTAGGGGATGACAAGTACTCAGGGTATATCACCTTTGCAGGGTGAGGGGTTCCAGAAGGCAAGTAAAAAGAGAAAAACTGGCTTGCAGATTCCCCAGGATTGGTAAATCCCTAAATGGGACCAAGAAATCTGAGGCACACAGAGATTTTGGATGGGAAAGAGCCTCTAAACCTGACTATGTGTATCTTGGTCCTGAAAGGGTTAATCCACCTAAAGGAGAGGTCTGAAAAAGGCAAGTAAGCAGTCAGCAGGTGACAGTGAGGTGTGATGTAGAACAGGGCATGCCTGCAGGAAGAGGTGAGATCTTTTCATGAGCTGTGGCTGAGCTGTGGTGCCCCATTTCTTTGGACCCCCTGACACAGGTGGGGACTTTAAACAAGGTTTACTGGAGGTGAGCCAAAGTTTTTACATTGTTCCAGTGTGTGAACTGCCTTTTTTTCTGATAAAGAAAGCTTTTTATGTTTGCTCTGTTTTGGAAAAAAAAAAGACTTTTTGCTTTTACAAAGTCAGTTGGCTGGCGATCCAGAACCCAGAATATCACAACTAATGTAAACTGAACTGAAGACAGATGTGTAAAATGATGTGAACTGATATTAAAGGATTCAGTTGTCATGCATTTTTTTTTAAAAATTTTCATGACAGAGCTGACAACGCTCACGTAAAAGAATCACGGTTTCCAGATTTCCTTAGTCTTGCATCCAAGTCACTAAATCAGTACAGCAGTAAGGGAAATGCTGAAAACACGATCTGTCAGTGATACATAAGATTTGCAGGTGCAAAATACTGGAATTAAGGGTTACAATGTATCAGTTGTCCATTTGAGTCTTACTCAGGGTATTCTCATACTTTTATTCCCTTAGCAAGATTTACGCACCTTTCTCAACTTCTTCATTAACTTTCCATAGGACACAAATATAAGCAGCAGAGGTAGCACAAAACATGTTATAAGGAAGGTAATAATGTAGGTTTGGTCTTTCACTGTTCCTGAATACCTGAGGTAGAAAACAAAAAAAAGAACACAATTAGTCTTTACAAAAGTACAGTGTTGTCAATCTAACAATGAACATGCTTACATGAGGGGAGAGTGCTGCTGCTTAATGTCCATTTACTTATAATCAATGCCTCTGCCTCACATAAAATTCATGGCTGATAGCTGGAAGTAGTACAGAAAGATTGTAAACTCTAACGAGCATGGCCCTCTGTTTCCTCTTGTATCAAATTGTATTGTAACTGTAATGTCTACCTTCATTTTGTAAAGCGCTGCACAAGCTGTTGGCACTATATAAATCCTGTTTATTATTATTAGTATTATTAATAATAACAATATACCAGAACAGATATACCCAGAACCAGGTAATTGTTAATCTGCTCCTATTAGTTTTAAAGATAGCAGGCAGCAATGGAGGCAGTATATGACTTTAGGTCTAATTTAAATAGACATGAAAAGAAACTGCTGGAAACTTTTATTACAGTATTATACTAATTCCCTTCCACTGTGGAGTCATAGATCTCCATCACTAGAAAGAGGAGAAATTTTAAACAGTAAAACAGTATAATAATATCAAAACTCTACAAATATACTATAGATCTAAAATGGGAAGAATAGAAGAGGTTGTTTCTCAGATTGCTAAAGGAAGTCAATTAAGATGATTTGAACTAAAACTTAATAAGCTAAAAAAAAAAAAAAAAAAAAAAAAAAAAAACCACTGGGATCACCACAGTTCCAGAAAGAAGAGAAGATGCTGCAGAAAAAGTAAAAGTGAATAAAGAGAAAAACATGTAAGTCAGTGGTGATAGACATTCAGCCTCAAGTATAAACTAGAGGCACCATCAGTTAAGTAATATGCCAAACCTCTCCAGTGCAGATCAACCCCTAACCTGCTTCTTCATGGTTTTCTTCATTAGTTGGAAGTCTGTACAACCAGATACATTCCCAAAAGCCACACAAGACAGTGGCATACTTAGCATGTTTAAAATCTGGAGAATTATTTTTTTTTTAACAACCTGCTCCCATACATCAAAATAATTATCAGTAATAACCATTATGTTAAACAGTAAGCACAGCAGGGAGCAGAAATAGCTGGTGGGGGGGGAGGGGGGGGGGGGGGGGGTAGACAGAAACAGCTGTAAATACAGCTGCAACTTTTTGCAGCCCAGATAAGCTATCTTCTGCATTGGTAATACATTTAAAAATAGTTAGGAGGGATTCCTTGAAGACATCACGTCCACTTCCTGATCCCCTGGAGGCATGACCAATAGAATGGGTGTTGCTTTATAGTGTAGGGTTTGTAGTTTGGAAGTAAAATAGGCTCTAGCAATGGTGTCATTGATGGCAATATTAACCCTCGTGGCTGGTCTAAGTGGCTGCAATTATATGCCTTTGATTTGCGGTCAATGGTAGTAACATTAACCCCCCCCATCATTGGTAGTGTGTAGCAGGAAGCCAGTATTGGTGGTCAGTGGCTGGCTGAAACAATAAATACCTCCTATCTCCCCCAGCATTGATGGCTAGTGGCTGGCTAGAACAATAACAACAAACACCACCTCCAGCAGTGATGGTCAGGGTTTACTTACATGAACAAATGCTCCCACGCCAACCTCTCTCTCCCAGTCAGGTTGGGACTATAGTACTACTGTTGGGTAGAGATCACATCTGGTTTAATTCAGTGCTAAAGGCTGGAGAGATTTCCAGCACCCATGGCACAGCTGCAACTCTTCAAGTCAGCGCAGCCACATCAGGGCACCCTCAAGGGCAAATCAAATGCCATTGTAACTTGCATAAATTATTGTATAGCCAGACAGCAATGAGCCTCAAAGTAGTTGCATTGTATAGTTCTAGTTATGCCCTTGTGTTCTGGCCAACCATTGCAGCCAAGCACTTTCCAACCTTAAAGGGAAAATGGCATGCTAACTAGCAGTCATGGCAGATAAGAATGCTCTCACATTTCTAATACTCTATATGGCTGTGGAGCTGGTTCACTCTATTATAAATTTGTAGTTCAGATAGTTGCTGCAATACTGCAACATAAAAGAAACTGCAGAACAGGGAGGATCAGGAAAATAGGTCCTTGCTGCTTCAGAGAAAGGTCCAGGAAAGAACATGGTAGTACCATTGTTAATGCTCCACAATTGACAAGGACCCTTTTTGGAAAGGGGGAACCAGTAAAACAGCCCCTTGCTGTCTTGGAGACAGGTCCATAACAGACCATGACAGTCCATTCTTAATGCTCTGATTCATATATTGAAAATACTGTAGACATCTGCCATTTTTCTCAGTGGCTTTCAGCCTTCCAAGTTTCCCATTGTACCTAGGTAGCCTATATTTGTAGGACAATATCTGTGAATGAAATATAAATATATAAAATTAGCACAGTTTGCAAAGTTGTAGTTTTTGAACACAAAAATTCTAACATCATCTGAGTTTAACTAAGAGAACCCTGTTCATCCCATACTTCGACTATGGCACTATGCTGATAACAAAAGACGTGAAATGGATCTCAGCCTCTGGGTATGGAGTCATCATTTGTTAGCAAAACAAAAGATGGGGCAATGCATTATGCACAACA